ATAAACTGTAATATAAGTTGCTTTTTTCAAAGTTACTAACTTTTGATGAAGTTCATCAATTGTCATTGAATAAGAAATAGATGTTTGTTGTGTTTGTATACATCCAACAAACCGAGTATGATGATGATCTACTTCAATCATTTCTTCAATTTTAGTTTGATCTTTTGTGCATATAATTGGTTCTGAATAATTATATGCACATCTCTAATTATTAATTAATTTAGAAAAATTTAAAACATTAATCCCTAAAAGATCAAAAGAGTCATCACTTTTATTTCTTATTTGCTGCAGAAATCTTATTGTTGGCCCTACAAGATTTAATGTAATCTATTGTATAGCAAGAGTACTAATTGAGATAAGTACTACAAGAAAATCAACAAACGTCTCATTATATTGAATTCCACGCATTGTAATAATATTACGTTCCATTTTATCTAAAAGTTTTGTAACTGATTGAGCTATTCCAATAAATATAGGTCGTTTCTCATCTATAGTTTTATTTACCATGTATCGGGTATATTGTACCATCTAATCTTCAATTTCATGTTCCTCTACTGCTTCTAAAAGTCCTCCTAATGCTAGATATTTTTTAACTAGCTGCTGATATTTTGAATTAATGATCTCTTTTTTGTAATATTTAAATAAATTGTCAAGATTATTAGAACAATATTTTTTAGAACGTTTTTCTTGATTTTTTATAAGTGTATCTAGTTCTTTAAAAGAATGATTAGACTATTTATCAAAAGAAGGTACTTGACTATATTTACAACAAATTGAATCAGTTAATTCTCTCTTTATATTTAAGATCATAGCACAATCAATTTGAGCAAGTAATTCCTGATATTCACGATTTCTTTTATTGAATACTTCATTTTTTGATAAAAGACTATATTTGTAACACCATTTATTTGAACAATTTCCAAGACATTTTGCACTCTTAAAATAGCCTTCAGCACATTCTAATCTATCATACAAGTTATCATTTCAAAAAATAGTGTATTGAACTTTGCTTTTTTTATCAAGAATTGAAGTACTATACTTCACAAAAGTTGCATAATATGCTTTGAAGAATCTATTACAAACTATAATAATATAATATAAAATATAAAATAAGCTTATAAGTAAATTAATATAATATTAAAATAAAGAAAAAAATCGAACTATGCTGTTTAATTTTAGACACTTGATTTGTAGACGATGTTAGTTGATTATCATTAACTGTAACTGTAACTAAGTTATTGAGCTCTTCATTTGGTTTAGTTAAATCAATAACAGTTAGTGTGTTATTATTGTTATTACTAAAAAATATTGTTAAAAAGGTAGTATGCATTTTTTTTGATTCAGTTTTTGGAGAATTTTCAAGATGCATTGAAGTAATAATATGTTCTTTTAATCTAGTTCCATCATTAAAGTAGTGTAAAGTTATTGATTTTTGACAACTATGACAATAAACATGTTTATTATCATTATATAAAGTATATGATCTATCTTCTAAAATCTTTTTTAATAAAGATTGACTTGATAAACTATCAAATTGCTAAAGAATTTCTGCTATTTTTGATTCTGTGCTTTTATTTCGAATTCTTTTAGCTGATAAATTTTTATTTTAACTTGTTGAATGGTAAGTAATATTTTCTTCTCGAACAATATTACTTTTTATTCCAAAATAGTTAAGCTGTTTTTGTTATAAAGTACTTTTATTTTATCTTGTTCGTTAGAATTCATTAGTGCTATCGCTTCAAAAAAAATTTATTATTACGTATTGATTGATATATTTTATTTTTGTACACTTAACTCCTTAAACAATTCTGTATATAGAGGTAAATATTTATTGCAAATCCGTACATTATAGTAAAATTTATTATAATTCTGTATACAAAGGTAAAAATACTTTAAAGACTAGTTTACCAAAATCTGTACTTTGAGCTTCAGTTAAATTTCTATATCTGTACACTAATAGCCGTTGAGGTTTCCCATAAAATTTATACTTCCGAATAACGAGGTTCTAATCAGTATATTCAGGGGCCTTAGTTGAAGTTGTTTTGTCTACCTGTTGTATTTGTTTCATTGATTCTAATAATGTCAACATTTTCTTTGCTTGACTATTCTAATAATAATTCCAATTTCATGAAGTTTCCTTTTATTCTATTAATATTATATGATGAAACTTTTAATGTTTGAAAGTTCTCTACTACAACTCCTTTCACCTTTCTTTTAGAAAAACTCTCTTTGCTAAGACAGTCAGCTCTACTATCTATTTCCATTGATTCAACTGGTATGCCTGTTAGGAGCGATTTGGAGCCTCCTACTCCATTTGTTGAATTTTTACTTCAAGGCTTCTTATGAGTTGTAGCATGTAATCATAAGAATTTTCTGGGCCTAATATCAGTTTTTGGGTTGCAAGAATACTACTAGATGCATTATAATTGACTTCTTTCTTTTTGCCTTCTCGTATTTCTCTTCTTTTTTTCTCAGAGTAAGTACTTGTCTGTTTAGTTTTCCCTGTTCACTCCATGCTGCTTATTATTTCTTCTTTACTTGAAGTAAGTCTTCTAAAACCTTTTTGATTCTGTTCTATATTTCTTTTTGTTTTGAGGCTTCTTGTATTACTTCTTCTATAAGCTTCTAACTCTACACTATCTGTAGCTTTCCTATTTTTTATATCTGTTTCATGTCTTGTTAAGTTTGCCTATCTTAGCTTGTTATCATAATAAGACACCAAAAATTTGAAGCAGTTTAACATATCTTCTTCCTTTTTAAAATAAACTGTTGCACTTCTCATATTGTTATTGTTAGAGTTCTTGAAGATATGTAGTGCTTTAGCTCCTGATCTTTTGATTTGTCTTTACAGGAGTACCTTGTTTGTGTTTTCTAGCAGGTCTAGTAACCTTTTGCTAAATCTATTTCTTGTACAGAGCAAAGAGAGATTGTTAGTACCTGTTGAGATTCTTACCAGTAATTCATTCGTGAATGGCAGACACTAGATCTTATTTATTTTCTTTTTGTCAAAGGTGCCTGTTTTAAACTTTATTTCTGCTCTTGTTTTGTTTGAGGCACTTTTAATTATTTTGATATGCTCTACTCTTCCTTGAAAGCAAACTATTTCGAATACCTGTATTCTTCTGGCCCAAGCTGGCAGGTCCCAAACTGCAATTTTGTTGTCATCCTCTGTTAAGTTTAAATTTTTGTTGACTTGATATGTTGTAGTTTCTTTCTTTTTAAGTAGATCTTGTTCGTGTGTACTGGTTTCTACTTTTTCTTCTCTTCTTACGAAGACTTCTTTGAGTTCTTTTTCTGCTTGCTTTTCTCTCTTTCTTTTTGTTTCTTGGCCCTCTCAAGTTGTGTTTCTTGTGTCTTGATTTTCTGCTATTTTATTCAGTTCTTCTTGTTCTTTGTTTTCCTCTAATAAGAGATTGGCTTGTTTATATTCTTCTTTCTTGTTTTCTAATTTTTCTTTTTCCTTTTTATAGCCTTTAAGACAGTCAAAAGTCACTATACACCAGAGATTGCCATGTTCAAACTTTTCTGAAATTTCTTTTAGATGAATATTTCTTCCTATTGACCATCTAAGTGATCTTTCTCTATGTTTCTTGTTATTTCCTAAGACTTTAATAGCTGCTACTTTAGCTCTTATTATTCTTTTTCTTTCACATCTATCTTTGTTTAGTGCTCAGATGCTTCTTTCTAGTAACAAATCTGATTTTGCAGGGAGAATATCATCTTCTGATTCCTCTGAAGTAGTATATTGTTGTTCTGTATTTGTCATGCTGATTTCTTCTTCTTTAGTCTCTTGAACTTCTTTTATTTGGTTTAGTAGTTTTTCAATTTTACTGTTTTCTGGTAGTTGAATTCTTTCTACTTCTATTTTTAAGTTTGTCATATTACTTGCTATACTGCTTGAATCTAATTGATGTATCATCTCTATATCTGATTTACTTTCTTGTGCTCTTAATTCATTATTTGCTACTGCTATATAATTGACTTCTTGACCTAAAATACTCTTTACTCTATTAATTCTTTCAGTTATTGCTACTCTTTCTATGACTTTTTTCTATTCTCTAGCTACTGTTACTATGCTACTATCTACTTCCAATATTTCTGCTATCATTTTATCTATGTGATCTTCTAAACCCATTACTGATCTGCTACCTTCTGCTATTATTTCTTTACCATATTCTTTCATCACTACTTCTACGAGTCTGATTACTTTCTTTCTGTTCTATATATCTGTCTATTTTAATCTATAGTTATTAACCCTGTCTATACTCTATACTTTATTTAATAGTTATCTTTTTGTTCAGGTTCTTTAAATCCTGTTTCTAGAAGTAACTTTGCCTTTTTTCAAAATTTCCTGTAGGTTTATTTAGATTGCCTGTGAACTGTCTAGTTCTGGTCTTGCATGATTCATCTCTGCTTCTTAACATATAATACGTAATTCAATAACATATTTGTTTGTTTATCTGCTTTGCACATATTTGTGTTACATAATTGATCTGCGTTTCAGGTTGTTTTGGAATTCCCAGTTTTGTTTGCAAAAAATTTTTTTCGTAATAAATTTTTGATAATATCTCTTTTAGACTACTTTTTGAGTTCGAGTTTTTTCTATTCTTCTACTTCTTTATATGTAATTTTGCTCTTTGTATCTCTTTTCTTAATATGTTAGAGGGTGTTAATTAGTAAGTTTAGTACTTTATCTATGTGGTAACCTTTAGCTTGATTTTGTGACCAGATGATCTATAGGGAGAGATTTTTTATTATGACTACAATATACTTATTGCCTTATTCAGTTGTAGGTAAAAGTTTAATAATATTTATTCCTATTTGATTAAAGAGTTGTTCTACTTTTATAGAATATAAAGGTTCAGTTTAAGTAAGTTTGCTTCTTTGTTAATATTTCTTATAAGATTATATATAGGTTTTTATATCCTTAAACATTTGAAGCTAATAGTACCAAAAAGCTGATTGTCTAAAAATTTTATCAATTCCAAAATATCTAACAAGAGAATCAGAGTACAAGTTATATAATATTATTTTTATTTTATTGTGTTTTACTACTTTAAAAAATTGAGTAGGTTCTTTTTTGTTCTGCTTGTAGAGTAGTCTATTTACTACCATAAAATATTGAGCTTTGTTTTTAATTTTTCTTTGCTTCTCCTTATTTAAATTATTAAACAAGATGTAATTAGTAAGAAATTGTACTAATATATAATATATATTTGAATCTATAATTTATTATTATTAATATAAGTATTCATTAGTGATATTTGTCAGATAATATCTAGTTAATAAATTAGAGGTGTATTGCTTTCTAAAGTTATATCCTACTTAATAGATTTATATTTAAGTACATATGTTCAGATCAATTAATTATATTAAAATTATATCTATTTAAAGCTATTATCTAATATCTAAAGTATCTAGTAAGGTTAGCTATATTTTTGAGGTAAGTTAATACAGAATAATTAGTAATAATTATAAATTTTTACTCATACAAATAATGATAAAATGTTTAAAAGACTAAATTACTTTTAGACATTCTAGTTCAGTAATTAAATAATTTTTTTCATAGAAGTTTAGAGTTTAACTAGCATAGGCTATCATATGCTTCTTATTATCCTTATCCTTTTGAGAGAATATTGCTCTTAAGGCAATAGTTAATATATTAGTATAGATCAAAAATAGTTTCTCAAATTTAGAGTAAATAAGTATAGATGAAGTTATTAAACAGTTCTTTAATTTTTAAAAAGCATTTTGTTGATTAGTAGTCTAGATATAATCTATTTTTTTTTAAGTAATTTATTTAAGAGTTTAGCTATTTAGAAAAGCTTTTTATAAATTTATAATAATAAGATGCAAAGCCTAAGAATTCTCAGAGTTAGTAGTATTTTGAGAGATGGGATAGTTTTGTCTAGCTTATATTTTAGAAGAATCAGTTTTAATATCTTTTTTACTAATTATATAATTAAGAAAAGATAGCTTTTATTTAAAGAAGAAGTACTTTTTAGAGTTCAACTTTAAATTAGTATTTTTAAGATATTTAAATATTTATTTAAGATGTTCCAAATATTGTTCAAATATTTTTGATCTAATATTGATATTATCTAAGTAAACTACTATAAAGTTCTAGAGCAAGTTCTTTAAAACTATATCTATTAGCTTTTGAAATATTGTTAGTATATTATATAACCTAAAATATATAACTGTAAATCATAGGTACTAAACTAAGTTATGAAAGTAGTTTTTTTCTGATTCTGAGATTCTATAAATATTTGCTAATATCCACTAGCTATGTTTAAACTAATAAACTATTTAGAGTATATTAGAGCTTCTAATAGATTATCAATATGAGAAAAAGAGTAATTATCCTTTTTAGTTGCTATATTCAATTTATAATAATTTACACAGAATTATTATTTTCTATTTTTTTTATTAATAATTATAACTAAAGAAGTTCAAGAATTTTTGTTAAGTATAATTAGATTATGCTTTAGCATTTTCTGAATTTTCTTCTTGATAAATTGCTGATTTTTATACAAGATTTAGTAGAAGTTTTGTTTAATAGATATTATATCTGTAGAAATAGTATAGGTTATAACTTTAGTTTTTTCAAACTTATAGAGTTCCTAGACAAATAAATCATCATATCATTTTATAAATTTTAAAAATATTTGTTTATCCTAAAACTTTAATTTATCTATGTTATACTTTTCCTTATCTGATTCCTT